CCCACAGGTATAATCTTGTATTTTAAAAATCTTAGTTGCTTTTATAAATTGTGTTGTTCCAGAAAATTTCTGTTTCCCACCACAGAGGAACTTTGAATAAAATAGCCCCAACCCCAACTGGAATTTCCAATTTTCTTTTATGAAAACCTTGTAATTTTGTTTTGTTATTTTTCTCAGTTTGTTTTGTTTTGTTTCCTTCAGGGTGGGGTATGAATACTTTCTGGAACCCCTTTAAAAAAAGACTAAGGGGAACTGAAAGAAAATAAAGAAAAGAGTAGAAAAAAATTTTTTTTAATCTTTTAATTTTAAGGAAACTGAAATATAAGAAAGAAAGGGAAAAAGTAGAAAATATATATATCGCCCTATCCAGCGGTTATCGATCATGCGCAGTACRGCTAGTTGTTTATGCTAATTGTTTTAGCGCGGCAATTCAACTTGAATATCAAGCCATTGTGTATCTTTGTAACGGCTGAACATGTAAATGTGATCAGCTAACACATCCGATAAGTAGACCCTGACCTGACGATAAAATACCTATACCTCGCAATATACACCTCAGWTAACTGCTTCAACCTTTAAAGTTTRATCTAGGAACGGCTTCTTCGAGATTTTCGAACGGGACTCCAAAACGAAAATCCACAAAGTTGACTTGTCAATTTATTTTCAAGCTTGACTGAACTGTCATAGGATTCAGCTAAAGGGAATTCCTAGGTGAGTTAGTTTGATGTATTTTTGTAAAGATCGATTTGATCAGCTGCTGTAGTTACGAGAATTCATTGCAGTTGTTTAGTCGCACGTGCAAACTTGTTTACAATTCGTCAGGCTCAATGCCTGACCTGTTTTCACAAACTAGATCATTTTACTCTATTTATAAAAGCCATCCTATACCTCATTTATTATATAACGATAACTTAACCTGTAGGATATTTATTCATTMCCCTTTCTGCGCGAGGATCGTTGCTAGAAGACTCAAAGCTCGAAGGTTTTCGTTTCGATCAACAAACGAACTTATTATAATTTCTGGTATTGTTTATGGCTAAATGCGTTTGTATATACTTTCTTTTGTACCGTTGTTTGGTTCATTATGATTCTTCCATGCTAAAAATCCATAAATAATCTGTTTTTCAAGGTGGAAGAATACTCAATGTGCGTGTTGAAGCCACRAATAGGAAATTAGAGTTGATTTGTAAATCTCGAGTGAGATAAGAAATGTAAACATTTTATTGTAACAAGATAGAAAGTCAAGGGTTAACATTTCTCAAGCATTCGAAATCCCAACAGTTATATGATCCCAAGATCTCGATCACCACTAAAAGAGGGWAAACCCTTATCCCAATTATTGAATGAGCAATTTTGTTTTAAATCTTGATACCATTTGATATATAATATCCTCCTCGAGAAGAAAAATTAGTAAGCGCCGTTGTATAATTCCTTAATTGAACTCTGTCCTCACCAACAATACAACGCGACTTGATTGTTGTTTTTGTCATTAAATATGCATTAAAACGGTTTTGAATTCTATTTCCTAAAGATCCTTTAGATCTCTTGATAATTTATTTTTTTCAATAACTTTTTTTTTCCATGAGAGAAAAAGGTTTGTATCATATYAATTTGGGAGACAAACATTGATCGGTTATAATGCAAATTGCAATAGTGGTTTTGCCTTCAACGACTGTGTTTTTTAATCCCAACATCCTTAGATTGAAACAGCTTGTGTAAACAAAGTCTAGAAATTTCTTTGTTGATGGAGAATCTTTTGTTAAACATTGCACTGGTATRTCAAATAACATCCACGATTTTTTTTCCTTTCTTTAGATTGTGGCTGTGGGGTTTCTGGTAACAAATAATTCAAATAGTATTTCAAATTTCTTTTACATTTTTGGATTTAAATATGGATATTTCAAATTAGCATTAAATTTTTCATTATTTATGTTGGTACTTAGGCTTCATAATTCAAAACTCGTTAGCATTTCTGTACATGTACAATGAGACATTTTTTGACATTTTTATACTTTTTTGATTGCATTGTCTCATGCATGTGTCATTTGACTAGCTAACTAAATGAATCCATAATTGCCATCTGTCTTACGTATTCTTTCCATCAATATATATGCTTRATATGTAAAACTCATCATTATGGACAGCTTCAAAGAATGTCAGATCTAGGATGATTTCAAGGGAGTGGCTGTTTGCTATGTGCAAAGCCATATTCCTTTAGATTATACATACACACATCACTCTTTTGTAAAATTTCAATGGGGGATATTGATGGCTAGGCACCCATTACCACCTTCCCTCTCCTCCTCCTACATCAGCCCTCCTCCCTGCCCCACACACATTATGTCTAAGATTCTTGATGTAGCATCTGAGTTATAAATAATAAGATGGGCAACTATTTACAGGTGGTCTTGTAAGATTCTGTTATAAGAAAATTATCTTTAATTTGCTGTGGTAGTTATGTATGGACCTGAAATTGAAAAAACACTTTTTAATCTTTCCATAATATTATAATTTTTCTTTGAATATAGGTGAACATTATAACAGAGTTGATGGATGGCCAGTACAGGACCGTGGGATGAGTCTGAGAGCTCTGGTGGGCAACCAACATCAAGGCTGCCTCCAAGACGAAGCACTCTAAGAGTCAGTCACCTCGGAACAACTCATTCTAGGACAGGCGCTGCTTCACCCTTGCATTCGGCAAGAAGATCCAGGTCGTTGCCAAGAATGGCGAGCAATGTGCATGTTGCTGATAAAGTKGATGATTTAGCTGCTTCGTTGCATGCTACTAGCGAAGTGTTGTCCACTGCGGATCGCATGCTTGAGCACTACAGGGACATAAATGTGGAACAAGATGATGAAATTACCAAGGTTTGCACAATAGGATTACTGAATATTYTTCTCATTCACTCATTCATTGCTTCATTGCCTCTTCCCACGCTTTGTTTACATATACATGCTTCACACATTTTCATCACCATTCTGATGAAGGCCATTGTCTAGTTCTAGCCAAAGCGTCATGTTTTTTAAAACCTCTACATGTTTTATCTGTAATGTTACATTTAATTAATCGATTTTCTGTAGTTAAGAAATGAACTAGAAAAATCAGCAGATTTGTTGCGAAGAGAAAGGATTTTTCGCAGACGGCGTTTACCAACGACTCCCTCCACTTCAATGGTAAGAAAATGATATAAATACTGTATTGAAAGTCAAAAACTCAAATGTTATGGGAACCCAGAAACAGTTAACCTAAGGCCAGGCTGATCAAAGTCAGGGCACAGCTGAATCACAGATTGCATTGGAATTTAGTTTGTTTGGTTTTGTAAGGGGTGAAAAACTGGAGAACCTGGAAATGATCCTCAAACCAAAGGAGAGACCTAACAAATTGAAACACAAGTCAAGCTAGTGTACCTCTAAGCCACCCTTGTTTCATCATTCAATGTAGTTGTATTTCTCTTTCAAGGATCATGTTTCATGATGAGTAAAATTTGTGATAATGGCTGCGGTTCCACTTGGGTTCTTTTTCATTGTTACACTGGTTTTTACTCTGAATTTTAGTGTTTTGAATGAAACCTCTTATTGCAGACATTTCGATATTAGTGTTTGTTGCCATGGTAATGGGTATCTTTAAGGCACATTTACCACGGCATAAACCATGTTAGATAGGCATGACRGTTTATCGGTGTAACTCTAAGACTAATTAATTGATGTCTACTTCTTGACAGATACTAGTAGCTAGGTTTCACTAGGTGTTTACTCCAACAATGGAACCGGCCTAACTCCAAAGAACGTAACAATGGTGTAAATAGACAGAGGGTAAAACCAGAGTAATTCAGTGTTAAACTCCTAGTGGAACCACAGCCAATGTTTAAGATTTACTGTTCATATAACGATTGTGTTTGATTTGATTTTAGTCTGAAGATGAAGC